GCGAGGCGTCGCGCGCGGTGATGGTCTCCTGCAACAGCCCGCCGGCCCGGGAACCCGCGCTCTGTACAAGACTTCAGATTCCCGTTGCCCCGGCTGTTGGCTGCCTGTCCTGGCTATGTATCCATACATCCCCGCTAGATGCAGCAGCCCGGCGACGTCAAAATCCCGCGCACCGGCGCCACTGGCCGCCCGACCTCCCTCGAAGTCCACGCCCGCCAGCTGCCAACGTGACAGCGGGGCCCCCGGAACACAACCACGGACGCCAAACGTTTCCCGCGGCATATACAGCACTAACATGAATTCATCACCAGCAGCAGGATCGCACCGTTATTGCCGGCCGCACCCACCCACTAGGCCAGCAAAAGTACCGGTACTACACTTGTGTTATTACACCAATCACCGCCCAGCCCGCAAACGGGCAAGCCGGCCGGGAACCCAGCCAGCCGACTGCGGTACAGTAACTACTCACGTCCGCCTTGGCCAGGCGCTGCTTGAGCTCCTCGTTCTCCCGAAACACTTCCGCGTAGCGCTCCCCCTGGAACTTGAACGTCGCCACCTCGGCAGCCAGCTCCGCCACACTGGACTGCGCCTCACGCATGCGCTCGCGCACCTCCAACAGCTCCATGTCCTTGCGGGCTGTGACGTTCATCGGCACAGGTGGGAGGTGGTGGGCCGGACGACAGACAAGGCGCCGGGATTAGGCGAGGGCGGCCAGGGGCGTGAGGGGGACAAGAGTATCTTCACCGCAGCGGGAAACGATTCAGTAGCACAGGGCATTGTAACGGGCCAGCCGTCTGGTACCGCACCGCGTGCTCAGGCGGGGCAGTGCAACCGCGCGAACCAACAGCCCATGGCGCAAGGCGCAATCGCGGATGCCGTCACATCTACAGTGATTTCCGTCCCAGTCGTTTCCGTCCCGTTGGGTTCCACCGCGTAAGCCATGCCCCGGGTTCAACCGCCGCAAAAGCCCCAGCACCAGCCCTAACCCGCCGGCGCTTTCGCCCCTGGACCCGGCCCGACGCACATAGCTCCTCCTCGTGTGCGCGCTGCGTCGCCGTGCGGTCCTCCTCCCACGCCTTCTCCCGCGCTTTGAGCCTGGCCGCCAGCTCCTCCGCGTGGGCCCGGTGCCGCGCCGCGGCCTCCTCCTGCGCCGCCCGCGCCCGCGCCGCGGCCTGCTCCCGGAGGTCCCTCTCCAGCCGCTCCATGGACTCCTGTGTGCTAGACAGCTGCTGCTGCAGCTCGTCGCGCTGTTGCTGCAGGTTCTGGGAGCCGGCCTGCGGGAGGGGGGGATTAGGGCGGGCCGGACGCGTGGGAGGAGAGGAAGAGCGCGCTGCGCGTTGCACGAACATTTCCTGCCCGAACTGTACGCGTGCGGGGCAGCAGCAGCAGCAGCAGCAGCCAGCGCTGCAACAGCCGACAACCAGTAAGCTGACACACCGCCGCACGTCTGCGCTCCGGCCAGCTGGCCACGACGCGCAACGAACCGCCGCCCGCCCGCCTCCTAAATCACTGCCCTGGAATTTCCCGTCGCCATTGCACGTGTTGTCCGTACGCTCTCACGCTGCTGCCGCCTGACAACCGCCTGTCTGTGAGGGCATGCGCATCCCACTGCAACGCCCCCCCTACAACACCCACCTGCGTCGCCACGCCCTGCGCGGTAAGGTGCAGCACCTCCTCCCTCAGCCGCGCCACCTCGCCCCGCAGCCCCTCGTTCGCGGACGCCAGCTGCTCCGACTGGCCGCGGAGCCGCTCCAGCTCCGTCGTGTCCGCCGCCGCCGCGGCCGCTGCCATCTGGGTGCTGGTCTGCAGCGCCGTCAGGTCGGACTGCAGCGAAATGGCACGTTCACGCTCGGCGGCGAAGGCCGCCTTCTCGGCCTGGATGGGGCGTAGGGCCGGGTTGGGTTCAGCGGGCGGGCGGCCGAATGGCACACGGTCAGGTGGGTTGCGCGCCGCCGCGGCCGGCAGGCACAGGGTCGCACGGGGAGTCTTCACAGCGCTCCTGTTTCACTCCGCGTCGGATGGGCACCTGCAGTCGCGTAGCCCTTACAACGGATGATCGGAAACGGGCCTGGCGCCGAGAGAGTAAACCGTGATTGACTGTCTGGCGCCCAAAGCGCCGCCGCAGACTGGACTGGCGCGTTCTACCCTGCCCCCACACAGCCCCTCCCCGAGCCCCGCGCCGCAGCTGCCCCCAGCTCGCGACGCGGTGCGTTGGCGCCTGCGGGTCCCCACCTGCAGCGCCTTCTTGACCGCCCCCAGCTCGTCCTCCAGCAGCTGCGACTTGGACACCGCCGCGCGCACCCGTCCCTCCGCGTCCGAGCTGCTGACCGCCAGGGCGCTGTGCCGCTCGGTGGCCAGCTTCAGGTCCGCCTCCAGCGCCTTGTGGCGGCCGAACAGCTCCTGCCGCGCCGCCACCTCGTCGTCCAGGCGCGACTCCGCGGACTGCACGCGCGAGCGCAGCTCAGCGATGGTGGCTGCGTCGGCTGCGATGGTGGCCTGCGCGTGCGGGCGGTGTGTGTTATGCATTAGGCCTATATGGTGGCCTTAGCGTGCTTGGCGCGCTTGCGCGCTGGCAAGGGCCCTCTGGCATGGCTCAATTCACCCGTCCCGCAGCGTCGCAGCGTACCACAGCCGAGGCGCACACCCCTCCCCCGCCACGGCTCCCGCCCGGCGCTCCGGGGGTCCGAGCCACCCCAACGCACCTCCAGCCGGCTGCCGTTGCTCCGTTGGGCGTTGAGCAGGTCCATCAGCTGTGCCCGCTCCTCCTGGATAGAGTCCATCTGCGCAGCCCCCGGGCCGGGCCAAGTTGTTGGTGTGCGCATCTAACAGCTAATGGACTCGGACGCAATGACTCGGGAGCAATGAGCGGTATTCGCCTCCAATAGAACCCATTGGTGTCAAGTGGAACGCTGGAGCGGTGCTCCTATGCCGCAGACGGACCCACAAGAGGGACCGCCGGTGCGCCAGCAAACCGCACGGCACCGCACTTTGCTTCAGTCGCGGCAACGTCGCGGTCGAGGAGACCTGACATTCATCCGGAGAGCTCCTGTAGTATTGTGCAGCGGTAATCGCTGGGGGACCGCTCAGCTTTTGGCGCAGCTGCACTTTGCACTGCTTTGCCGCCCCGGCCGTGTCTGACTGGAGGGGCCCCAACACCGCGGGACAATGGGCACCGACCCACCTGCTGGACAAGGACATCCTTGCCGGCCCGCAGGTGCGCGCATTCCGACTCCCGGGCCAGTCGCTGCGCCTGCTCCTCCTTGTATCTGCGGCGGGACATAAGGAGCCCCTCTCTCCGGTGGCATTACACACACAAGGCGCGGTGCGCCCCGCCCGCCTGTGGCTTTCCGCGCCTTTGGACACGCGCGGTGTGGACTCGTTCCATGCGCCGCCACCGACTTTCTTTTCATGCGCCGGGTCTGCGGATAGCTTGCGCCCGCTCCCCTCTCTCCCCGTGCTTTCACTCCATTTGCTAGGCTCGCCCTTGTTATGTCGCAAACTCGGGTCCCTCCTTGTTGAGCCCCCCCCCCCAACGAACCGCCTGTTGAGCTCCTTGAGCTGGAGCAGGTGCTTCTTGTCCACGAGCCTCCGCGCCTTCTCCAGCCGGTCGATTGTGGCCTGCAGGGCCTCGATGCTGGACTCCTTTTCACGCAGCTGATCTCTGACCTGTGGATGCCGGGTGATCAATGACGGGGGAGGTGCGGGAAGGGCGTCTGAGTGGCAGCTGCGAAAGAGGGAGCCAATGACTTCGCTCCCGTCCGCTGAGGCAATGTCGTACATCCCAACGGGGTGGCCGTACTCATGCGTTGTTGAGCGCGGAATTGAGGGGGAGCACTGGAATTGAGGGGGGGCATTTGACAACAAAGCTGCTAGGCCTGTGTACCTGGTCGGAGCCTGACCGCGCCTTCACAAGCTCGTCCGCCAGCACGGCGTTTGCGGTTCGCAGCTCCTGTAGAGAGCCAAACACGCAAGGACCCGTTACACTGCAATCGAAGAAAGCACGCACGGCGTACTTGCGTGAACGCACCTGAAGAGAACTCTTGCTTATGCTCATCATCCGCTGATCGAACGCTCTGTGCCCTCCGCGCACAAGAAAGTTCCGTGGGTCGTTAAAAGACACATCGTCCGTCCCAGGTGTGCCGCATGCAGCAGCATTTTTCCTTGGTGTCTTGGGCTTTTTGCCAATGCTACTGCCGTTATCGTAGCTGCTGGCAGGAACAATAAGGATGGATTGCGCCATTGGAGTTGTCGCTGTCCCAGCAACCAGCCAAGGCCGACGTAAATGAATCAACCAGGTTCCATCGAAGCTATCGCTGCTTGCAATGGGCGTGTCGCTCTCGAAATGCAGCGGCGTCGGCAGCTGTTGGCGAAAGTCAAAAAGGGTCAAGCAACTGTCAGCCAAGTGCTATGCAAATCGTAAAACTTCACACGGCCGCAGTTTGCACCCTGGTAAGCTTACACATCGCTATAGAAGGCGGAAGGCACCAATTAACAATATTGAAGCAGAAAGACGCGCAGGAGAGTTCCTAACATGCATGGCTAAACGCATCCATGCGCTTATTCCTTACTTCATAGGTTTCTGCTACAGGGTAGCATCTACATGACGCACCCTAGCACTCGTCCAGCCGTACCATGTATTACCAACGCACCAACGGCATGCCCAACCCCTTTACCGTACGTTCCAGCTTCTTTGACACAGATGAGCCAGAGCTTTTGCTGCAAGTTAGGCTGACACCTCCTTCAGACCTTCACGAGTTAGAAGACTACTAGGGAAGAGCGAACTACTGCGACCCGTACCGTACCAACAGAACGGCTACGTCCGCGCTCCTTTAAGTCGGTGACCAGGCGCCGACCATGATGCTAGAGTGCACGCAAGGCAAGGGGGTGGACGTGCGCATGCACTGAAAGGATAGGATATGGTTGGCAGGGGCGTGCAGGGCGTAAAAGAGGTTCCCGTCAATTTGGACATATCTGTCTTGAAAAATCCGCAACTTCAGCAATATTCCCATCCGGGATTGAACCGGAGACCTTCAGAGAATCCATGTACGACGTACGACGTACGACAGTATCATGTAAATCTGACGCGATAACCACTACGCCATGGGAACGGGGATGAATGACGGGGATTCTTGTGGATGCATACACCGGTGTCATCTCTGGTTGCATGATACCGCAAGGCATGAGGAGCACCTTGACATAATAGTAGTGTGACTCCCTCTTGTGAGTGCTCATACCCGAGCGGGTGTCCTTGAGGGTCCTTCCAGGCCGCCGTCCTTTGGTTCATGGTGATCGGGGGCCGCTTGCAACAGACCAGGCGCCCTGGTGGGAACCCTTGCAGGTGTTCCGTGTATGCCTTCCTCCAACTTTTTACGGCATTGGAATTTCTATGTTGGATGCCTCGGAACATCTATGCAAGGCACTGGATGTTTGGAAGGCGTCCTGGGGAGGCGTCCTGTCCTCTACCGGTATCCGGTGTCTCAGCCAGGCATGCGTGACGGGCTTTTGCCTTGCTCTACAAGTGATTGGCACCACCACCTGCGATCGTCATTGCTGTTGGTGCTGACACTTGCTGCTGAAGGAGTTGCTGCAGATGCTGGGACATATGGTGGGGACGGGGGCCATTGTCGGGCGGCACCGGCGCTGACGGCGGTCCATGGACGCAATCATAAAGGCAGATTTCGCCATATCTCCTAAACGCAGTGGTCCACCAATCTCACGGTGGTTGTATTGTGGGGTCGGAAGGGGTTGGCGTTGGGGTTTCGGTGCCCTGAGGCGCCCCTGGAAAGGGTGGGTTTCGGTGATCACCCGTTCTTCAGACGAGCTGGTGCGTTCGTGGACGGAAGGGCCGGCGGCGGAGGGCTACCTTTTGCGCTGGCCGCTTGTGCAGGTCTTGGGGTAATTCCTTGGGCCTTCTAGGGGGCTCCTCTACATGCAGCCCGCTGTCAAGTCTCTCGGTGTGCCTTCCAATGGGTGGTCCGTGGCTGGGGCCCATCGTGGCCTGTCGCCAATGGGGGAGCCTGGTAGCTAATCTACATGCGGCCGGGAATCTCTATGCTCCTCCTCCCGCTTTCGCTCGCTCCTGCTCTATGTGGCTTGTGCTGTTGGGCGTTCCTTCGCCCTGTTCGTTTCCGCTGCAGTGCGCGGCCAGCTAGCCCGCAGTCTGTACCCTCCGGACGACCCTTCGCAGGCTTCGGAGCCCTCCTTAATTGCGCCTACTACTTGACTCATTGCTGGCAGTGATCGCTCGGACGTCACCGCAGCGCAGTGCAGCGCCATATCGCCGAGCGCCGACGGTCTCTGCCACACACCGTTCGCAACACCGCATCTGCTGTACTGATGAACGCTGAAATTCAGTGGATGGTCCGGCCAATGTTGAAAGCTTCCGGTATGATGTAACGGACTCGCTTTTCCGTCCAGCAGGCATGTCCAGCCATGTCCAGTCCCTCTGCAGAACCTGGCGCCAACGGCGCTCCTGGCACCAAGCACACATCCCACGGGATGAAATATGACGCGTGCCTGTGGACATTATTGCGCCAGTTGAAGGTACCTGATGAACTCCACACGACGTGAGCTTTCCGTTGGGCGGGAAAGGCCACGGGTAGGGCGGGGCCTGCCAGGCCATGCGCAAGGAGAACGTGATGAGGGTAATGACCCGCTCAGACGTACGTTCTGTCTTTTGTTGCATGGTGACACCAGGAAAGACCTAAGGCAGGGCTCTATGTGCGGAGTGGCCAGCGGCTGCTAACCGCTGCATCGTATTCGTTCCGAGAATCCGATTTTGCGCGCAAGCTTGAGCGCAACCTAGACAAGAGTAATGCACGTTACGATAACTCATAAATACTGCTGTACCGTATGACACTTCGAATAGGTTTCGCGCTGGAGTTTCTGCAAACGCCTGTTGCAGCTGAGTGAGCCGCTGACCCATGGATTGGTTTAAAAGCGGCCTTCAGGCTGCACAAAAGCAAGCACAAGAAGCTGCGGAGAAAGCACGGGCACTTGCGCAGCAAGCCTCAGTGCAAGCCAGGGCAATTGCCGAACAAGCTTCTGAACAGGCGAAAGTGCTGGCAGAGCAGGCATCTGAACAAGCAAAAGTTTTCGCAGAGCAAGCAACTGAGAAGGCTAAGCAGGCCTCGGAGAGAGCGAAGGTGCGAAGGGAAAAGCGTCATCCTTTTGAGCGCATACCTGAACCCCGCAGAGCGTGGCAACTTGTAGGTGTTGGCGAGCGCTGCTGCGGAAGAAGCGCAAGCAAAATTACAGCAGCTTGCAGCGCAGGTACGACACCGCTCCTCTCCAGGTTTGGCATGGTCTGGGAGTTGCCATGGCATGTGCGGCGCTCGACACCGGGTGTGCCTTGGGTTTTGTTATACAAGTCGCAACAATTCCCAGGGGGCCTTCCAAAGCGGTTCATTGGGCATGTCGCTCACCCCTTCCGGGTGGCAATGCCCTCCTGGCGGGCCACTGCACGTAACATCCGTGCACGAGTTGCGTGACACATGCGTGCGCCTAAACCCCTCCCTACCATGTCAATGTTCTTCCTCTTTGGTAGAATGCCGCCTGCTTTAGCCACCACATAACTTGACTGCTGCCGCCGTCACCGCGCCTTCCCACCAGACAACCGCCACCAGCAGCGGCGGATCTGCACATGACGTGGATCACGCTGAGCTCGCCAAGTACGGCGTAACCCCTGGGCTGCTGGAGACGGTGTCCGGAATGACGTACAGCACCTTCAGGTACGGACATAACGCCGCACCTCCTGACCTGCCGTACCACCGCTCTCCCTTGGGCAACCCTTCATCCCGCGGCGTGCGCCCATCCTCTGCCTGCCGTCACCTCCCCGCAGCGACTATCCCGTGGAGCTGCTCCCCACCACCAACCCCATGGGTCTCGCGCCGCCCATCCCGCCGCCGGGATTCCGGCTCAGCCCCTGGCAGGAGCGGCATGCGCTGCTGGTGCTGACGCGGGGCGACCAGCTGCAGGGGTTGCGCTTTGCGCTATGCCCCAAGTAAGTGCGTGCAGCAAGGTGCGACAAGTCGCGCCGCCATCGCCGCAGCTGTAGATGCATACGAAGGAGCAGGAGCGGAGCACCGGCATGTTGGCGGGCATGGATAAGAGTGCTGTGGGTGTGGTTGGCAGTTCAACGGCAGTTACGCGCCCGTGCCGAAACATGGGTCGAACGGGCGGCGGACTGGCTGCCGTGGGCTGGCAGCCCGGGACGAGCCCCGTGCCTCCGATGCCGGGAGTTATTGTTTGAATGGACCCTCGGAAAGGTTATCAAACGGGAGTGGGCCCCGTGCGTGCGTGCGTGCGTGTGCCGTACGCAGGCGCATGAGCGAGGAGATGTTCTGGGTTATCTACTTTACGTTGGTCAAGACGCTGCTGCCGCCGGAGGCGTTCGCTGCGGCGGACGCCCCCGCGGGCGCCGTCAGCGGCCTGGCCAAGGGCCTCGGCACCCCATCCAGCAGCGCCAAGAGCTTGCGGGTGGGTCTGCCGGGCGGATGCTGCTGCTGTCGTTGGCTCCCATCTGTCCCTTTATGCGACCCGGGGCTCCGCCGTTGCCTCCCACATGCCAATCGCAGGGCTCCACGGCCGTCCCCAGCTCGCCAACCATGCCGGTCTCCACACACAGCAGCACCGCCCGCTTGATGGAGGACTCTACTTCGGCCGCCGCCACCACCACAGGCGCAGCCACGCCAGCTAGGGCGGGTGCCGCGTCGGCGGCTGCGGCGAGCTCCGCCGGCGCGGCGTCTCACGCGCCCGGGTTGGGCGGCGAGGCGGTGCTGGTCGACGTGGGCAGCTCGAACGCGGGGGAGGAAGAGGATGACGACGACGACGAGGAGGAAGAGGATGACGAGGAGGACGGCGCCGAAGGCGGGGAGGCTGACCTTGACGCGCTGGAGGACGACCCCGAGCTGGCGGCGTACCTTGAGGTGAGTGCACTCAAGGGCCTTCTTTGCGTGGCTGATGCCTACGGTGCCACGCCCGGACCTGGGCGGCGCCTCTGGCTGCGTGTCTCAACGGCGACCATGCTGCCCTGCCTGGCTGAGAACGTGGAACCTCCTGTGTCGCTGGCTGCAGGAGGCGCTGGATGTGGGCGAGGGCGGCGAGGCCGAGGGATTATCGGACCTGGGCTCAGCCACCGACGACCTGGACGACTACATCAACCAGCTGGACGCGGAGTTGGGGGCCGAGGGTGGCAGCGGCAGCGGGGAGGCGGAGGCGTCGCCGGCCAGGCCGGTGCAGGAGGCCGCGTGAAGGGGCGAGCGCAGCGCAGCGGGGGGGTGCACGCGTCTGGCTTGCTTTTGGGGGATCGCGGAGTCGAGAGGGGTATGGAGGGAACCTGGCGCTTTGCCAGGCGGCGGTTTGTACAGACAGAGGATGGCCGGGACTGGAGGAGGCGTATTGATGTACCATAACCGTAATATTTGATCAAGGCTACGGAGGCGGAGCTGATTGCGTTCGCCTTGCCCATAGGATGGCAGGGGCGAGCGGAAGCTGTTGGGCTAGGTAGTGGCCTGCCAGTCCGCCTGCCAGTGAGCTGCGAATGGTGCATGAGCGTGTTGGGTAGTATGTTAATGGCACCGTCACTGTGCATGTTGGCACCGTCCTATGGCGTGTGGGGGACTGGAGAGGCCGTCGCCATGGCAAAGGCCGAATCCCAGGGATGAGGGCGTCCCTTCGGGCTAGTTGGTTGTGCATCCAAAGCAAGCATGCGACGGCGTCAGGGCTTTGCCAACACGGGGAGCCGTGTCGTTGGATGGAACCTTGCACAAGGGCCTTGGGTTAGCAGTGACCTCCTGCAGACCTCCTTACACTCTAGTCTGTGACATGACGTGAAGACCATGTGATAGAGCGCAAGCACGTACACTTAATTGCTGAATAGCGAACCGCGAACTTGAAGCTGGGCCGTGCGGCCGGGGTGCGGCCCTTTGCACTGACCCCCGTGTAACTAAGCACTGACGGCGTCTTCACTAGTCACCCCCTCTCAGCGCAGCTGCTGCTGCGTGGACATACCACAATGCACAAGGGCCGCTTTCGTCCGACTACTCTTTCTCTCGACCGATCCGCTCAATGCATCAAATGAAGCTCGGCAGGCCGAAATTTGGACAGG